ACGTAGTAGTAAGTAACTTAAATTAACTTAACTTACTATAGTAGTTAGTTTAGTTATTATATATATATATATATATATATATATATATATATATAGATAGATAGATAGGGAAATGATGGGATTAGCCCACTAGCTCATATGAACATATGAGCCCAACGTCTCAGATTGATTATGGGCCGATCTGACGATCACTGATGTCCGGTAGTGTTTGAATTTTAGTTTTTTTTTTACAAATCCAAATCACTTGAAATTTTAGGCGTGTGCGTTCATCTAAAATAAGTGAATCTTCGAAAAATATCAAAAAAATATTTTACATGAAAAAAGTTTCGAGGGTATTTTGGTCTATTGTTTTTTTACGGATTATTATTTTTTTAATGTTTTTATTAGGTGCGACTTGATGAGAAGAACACATGCTTAAAATTTCAAGTGATTTTGATATGTAGAAAAAAAAATTAAAATTAAAATACTACCGGACATCCGTGATTGTCAGCTCGGCCCAGATTCAATCTGGACCGTTGGGCTCATTTTTTCTTGTGAGTCCACTGGTTCACAGGATCATTTATATATATATATATATATATATATTCATATATATATATATGAAAAATGCACATACACTCTATCTGTATTTATAATCCTAGATAAACTATCAGGCCCATAGATTCCCTTGAAGTTAACAGAAAATGACATTTAACCCCCTCAACACTTTTCCATTGTCCAAATTGCAATATTTATTATTCTTATCCTTTCTATTCACCCCATCATCCAAACCTTAGAAAAGCTCCTATTTTTCTTTTGCTTCATCACTCATGAACTTCTTCTTCCCTCACTCTCTCACAACCTCCTTTGAACTCTCATATCTCTCTCTCTCGAACCTTTAAAAAATGCATTTCAAATTGCCCCTGTTCAGAGTTAGGGAGCCTTAGAAACCAGGGCAGGCACTTTGGTTGTTTGGCCTACTTCATAGGCTCGAGCCGAAGTATAAAAATATCCTTGGGAAAATGGAATTGCCAAATAATCAAAATATCCCTGGTTGGAACTAGATTATATTTAAGTTTCATTTCATAAAGGGCATTTTGATCTTGTTGGGGAATTTTGATCATTTGGCAGATCCATGTGCGCACGCACTCTCGCGTGCACACACACACACACACACACACACACATACACATACACACACACACAGGTTAGTTCCAGCCTCATTTTCTCGGTTTACTCAAACTATGACTGAATCCATGTATTGGTATTATATAAAACCATGGTTGCCTTTACTTGTATATATAAATGCTTTTCAGTCTTGGAGGATTTACTGCATTGATGACAGCAGCTGAGGTGCCTGAGCAAGTTCAGGGAGTTGCTATTCTGAATTCCGCTGGGCAGTTTGGGAAACCTGGTGAAGAAACCAACGAAAATTTGGAGGAAACATTTTCGCAGAAGTTCCTAGTGAAACCACTCAAGGAGGTTTTTCAACGTGTTGTCCTAGGTTTTGTGTTTTGGCAAGCTAAGCAACCTGGCCGGATACAGTCTGTTTTAACAAGTGTATGCTACTTTACTGAGAGCCGTTGTTCCCACTTTTTGGATTAACATTGTATTACTCTCTCTCTCTCT